GGCGGAGTGTGCGGGGCCGGGGTCGGGTTAGCGCGAAGCTGCGCAGATCGCGGCACACAGACCCCCTTGTAACAGGCAGGGACGAGGGAGGGGGAAGAAGCGCTTTGATGAGGTAAATGAAGAGTTCTTGTCGCCGAGCCGCGGTTGCGGTGCTCACGGACACGCTCCGTTCGCTCCACAGGTCTGCCAGACCCGGTCGGCCAAAGCCATTTCGCGGGTGGCGTACCACAGCGGCGTGGTGATCGTGAGGTGCCCGGGCTGCGGGAGCCAGCACCTCGTAGCCGACAACCTGGGCTGGTTCTCCGACCTGGAGGGGAAGCGGTAGGTGTGCGGCGAGCGAGGGGGCTGCCGGGCCCGCCTGCGGCCCTCCCCTGGCACCGTGGTTCTTTGGCGCTTCCGAAACGCGGCTCAGGGCAAACCGGAGGGTCTGCTGGGGCTCAGGTCGGTGCCACCCAGCTTCCCCAAGCACACGAGCTGGGTCTGTCGTCTGTAACCTCACCGTCACTACCTGGGGTCCGAACAGAACCCTGGAATGGTTTGGGTTGGAAAGGAACTTAAAGATCCAGTTCCAACCCCGCTGCCAGGGCGCAAAGCTGCGACAGCAGCCGTGTGCTTCACAGGCACCTCATCGGTGGGTGCCAGGAGGTGAGTTACTGGGTCCTGTTCTTCCTCAGGCTTTGTCCCGTCACTGCCAGGTTTCCCTGGCTCAATGTTCCAGACATGTAGACTGTTGAATTTCAATGATTTCTGACTCCCCGAGATGCCTTTAAGAATTCCTGTTCAGCTGTAATTGCTCAATCGTTGATCCTGACGGATTAAAGTAGACACAGAAGGTCTGGGGGGTTTTCTTCCCAAACTCTTTCTGGAGAGCTGTGGTGATGCTCAGTGTGATGCGATGTGAGGTGTTACCCCGGTGCGGAAGGACGAGCGAGCCTGCGCTTGGCTCCTGCGCTTGGCTCCTGCGCTTGGCCGTGCCTGTGGAGTCACTGCTGGTTTTCAAACCGCTGTTCAGGAACATTGAGGAGATCCTGGCGGCCAAAGGGGAGAAGGTGAGACGTGTGGCTGGAGAGGAAGCCCTGGAGCTGCTCCTGGAGAGCTCGGCAGACACCGGGTCCGGAGGGGAACCCACAGAGGGAGAAGGCGGGGAAGGGCCCCCCAAGATCGGCAGCAAGGGGCAGACCTGACAGACTCTTCACCTTAATTCCTTGATTTCAGCGGTCTGTGTTTAATAAACTGGGGTATTGGCCTTTCTCAGTTGTGTCTCTTGTGCACTTTCACCTTTGAGCAGGCTGATGTTTTTAGAGATGGAGTCTGGCTGTTTCTCTTGGCACTTGTTCTGCTGGTTTAAGGCAAGCTTCGGTGCTTCAGCAGAGTCGGGGGCTTTGCTCTCTGCTGAGGAAGGAACCTGTAGCTCTTGGTCTGTATTAGCCTAAGGAGGTGCAGCTGGGCTGGAGGCTCCAGCCATGGCTCCTGGCCTTGCCCAGGTGCTGCTGCAGAGCTGGTGAGCAGAAGAGGCAATTGGTGCCACCTGAGGAGCCGGGCCCGACCCTGTGTGCGCTGGCAAAGCCAGAGTGACCCTGCAGGAGGCTCGGATCAACGCCTGCTGCTGCTTTTCTCCTTCCCTCAGCGTCCTCCAGAGCTCTGCTCCGGTGCCCTCGTGTCGGGGCTGAAAGTCTGGTGTGTTTGTGGGTGACAGCGTGAGCCGCTGCCCCCGTGCTCGGGGATCCCACTCGGCGATGAGCGGCCCCGGCGCTGGGTTATGCAATTCCGTGCGGCTGAGGGGGAGGATGGGCGTGAAGGCAAGATTAATATTTCTTGAAGCACGTTGGAGATAAGTAGAGCACCTAGAAAGTTGTCTGAAGAGTTACTTGACAGTTATTGAGCTTATTAATGCTGCTGCTGCATGTTAAAATCAGCTAGAAGAAAAAATAATACTGTAATAAATGAAGAATGTAGGAGCTTATCAGCATGTAGCGCTCGGGCAGCGATGAATCAGGCAGGAGGTGATCACACTGTGCTTTGCTCGAGCTTGCTTCCTCTGCCTGCATGAAAGTTTAACTGCTCCTGAGGTCCATTAGCGTGAAGCAGAGTGAAGTAGCTGCTGTCCATGGTTTTAAACGTGCAATAGGAGAGTAATTCCAGTGCGAAGTGACCTCTGGAGGTTTCTAGTCCAACCTCCTTGTTCAGAGGAGGATGCTCAGGGTCTTGTCTTGAATATCTCTGAGGATACAGGTCCCACAGCCTTTTTGGACTCCTGTTCTGGTGTCTGACCAGTAACACTAACTGAAATTCCCTGTGTTTCGGCTTGCACCATTACCTTCTTTCCAAACCTGTCTCTGTTCTCTCTGCCCTCTCATTAGTGAGCTATAAGAGCAGTAAAATCCCTCACAGCCTTCATGCCTCTGGGCTGAACAAACCCCATTCTTTCAGCCAAGCACATCCAGGTGCTCACGGTCCTTAATCAGGACGAAGTCAGTGAGGGCATTGCAGGTGTTGGTGGGTTTACTTCATCTGGAGTGTTCCTGGTGATTTCGTGTGTGTTGCATTATAAGCACGGGTCAAACAGGAAAGTAGTTGAGTGTTCCTGTTGTATGGAAGTTCAGATAAAACAGTGTTGAGGGGCAGGAGCTTCATCCGTCAGCTACTCGTGTGTGCTCAGCCCCCGGTGAAACACTGCTCTGGAACACCTTGGTGCTGGAGTGACCCAGGGATTGGTTCAACGCACCTTTGGCTCAGGGCCGGGCCCTCGCCCGCTGTGAGCTGCGGGCACACGTTTGCTCTCTGCTGGAACAGGGGTTATTTTACTACCTTCTCCCTGACAATCAGCGCTGTGCTTCCACTGTGCTGATGCTTTGCTGGGTGGCACAGAGCAGCCGTGCCAGGAGCCGGGTTGCCTTGGAGACAGTTAATTTACAGCCTGACCTTTTCATGCTGTTTTTCTTTACCTTTCTGACCTGTTCCTGTGCCCAGCTATGGAAAGGTAGGGATCATTTTTGATGTGTAACAATGCTGCTCGTGGGCTTTCAGCTGGAGGGTGGTTGTGTGGAGGAATTTGCATGTAACACAGGAAGGTTTGTGGCTCATGCACTGCAGGTAAAAAAAGACTTTTGTGCTGCCTTTTGAAGTGGGTTTTTGTGTCACGGGGAAGTGGGTCTGGTCTGAAGGAGGCCCTGGATGAGCTCGGAGCAGCCCGGCAGGCTGGGCTTTAGGGAGCAGGGAGAAGAGAAGCCTTTCTCCTCACCTGGAGGTGTGTCAAGATGGGAAGGAAGCAAGAGGAGGGCCCGTGCAGCAGAGAGCGACTGATGGTGCAGCCAACCAGGGTGAGTCTTTGTGGCCTGGAGGAGAGGAGGCGATTTCAAGGGGGGCAAAGTGGCCTTCACAGAGTGGGCAGCAAACATAAAGTGTTTGCATTTTCCTTGAAGCATTTCAGGGGCTGTTAAGGGACGGAGCCTGAATCCTGTCCCACGAGGGGTTTTTCTGTAAAACACCAAATACGTTGCCTCTTGTTGTGTGCAAACCCTCCTTCTGTACTGCAGCCAGATCCCGGAGTGAGTCTGGCTGGTGTGGGACTGGTGGGTTGTGTTTGCTGCTGGCGTTACTGGTGGTGTGGCCCAGGCCCTGTAGGCCGTGGTGGGTGTGATGGGGGCTCTGCGGGACTTGCTGAGGGAAGGCCTGTGCCAGGCCAAGAGGAGGGGAGAGGGCTGCAGATCCTCCTTGCCTGGGGCTACCTGATATAACCAACCTCTGCTTTCTGCTACCAGGGTGCAGGAACGTGTTGTGTGGACCATGCAGGACTCCTGCTGCCCTGCAGGGAGCTGGCAGCTCTGAGCCCTGCCGTGCTTGCTGAGCTGGGGGCCCGGCTGCACCGTGGAGCCACGTGGGAGCTGCTGCAGGGGTTTGCTGCCCCGCTGACAGCGATGGGGCAGGTACGTGTCTTCTCCTGTAGCATCAGTGCAGCGAGGAGGGGCACTGGGGGCTGTGAAATGAATCACCACTTAGTCGTGCTGCCTGCACGGGGTCTAACATAGATGGGTTCTGGGCCTTCAGATCCTGCTGTAGTGCGGCCCCCCGGGCTGGGCTTGCTGCAGAGCCAGGCAGGAGTTAACTTAGCCCATGGCTGTGTCCAGGCCTAGCGGGGTCCCAGCAGATTGCTGTCGAGAGCTGCCAGAAGCTGTCCAGCTCCAGCCCGGAGTTCGCAGTGCCCGGGTGCTCCTGCAGGCCGAGAGCCCCTCCAGCTGAATGGAGCTCAGCGATGGCCAGAGCAGCAGCACGAGGCTCTGGGGAGGGCTGAGGTAAGTGCAGGGAATCAGCCCTGACGTGACTTGGCAGATGAGCAATACAAAACCCCCACAGGCCTGACATCAGCCGTGTGTCACCAGTGCCTCTTGGGACCTGTGAACCGCTGAGTACGAGAGAGCAGGAGCTTTTCTCTGCTGGTGTTTTAGAGTTCCTCTTCACCTCCAGACCTGCACCAGGGACCCTGCACTGTGTAACTCACACCTGCAGCACTTAGTGATCCAGTGAATCGGCTGCATTAGCGCTGCACAGGCCCCGGCAT